AGGTAATCCCCAATCACAGTGCCTTGCACGTAGTAGGCTTGAATTGAATTCTAAGAAATTTTTAGCTTTGGGGAGACATGATGCTTTTAGAAATTCCAAAGAGATATTTGTGGTTGGTTATGTGGACGGCCTAGCAGCAGACTCCATGTCCGTCATCTGAGGACCCGCCTAGCTAAATTTGGAGAGTAGTCTCATCATGAGGTTGGCTGGGAGGGCATACATTTTTCAGTTCCAGCAGCTCTAGAAAACCATCTCCTGAGGCTTAGGCAGAGATCCAAATTTGGTCAAACCAGAGATTCTTCTCTCACCCCCCAATCTTTTTGGTCCCTAATGGTCATAATTAACATGGAAAATGTCTTTCAGGGTGCTTGCTGAGCTTTTTTTTTTTCTTTAACTTTTTTCTTAAGTCTTCTGACAGGTGATTTTTGAGTTAGGATCTTCAAGGCTTTCCCTCGTGTTTCCCAAGTACTCATTGATCAAGGGTTTTTTCTGCTTGAGTACAGAATGAGTGCTCTCTGGATCCATTTTCATATGGTCTTTACAAATATTGTATTTTTAGCATTAAATGGTTATTTGTGTAATATTCAAGTATAGGTAGTAGTTTCTTTTACAAAGTAAATGAGAAGAAAGTGGTGTAAGACTAACTGTAGGGATCTGCAGTTTCATCAGAACAGGTACTTTCCCAAACCAGGCAGATCATGACCCCTCCCTGCCTTACTCAGTCTTTATGAGCTGTTGTGGTTAAAAAAAAAAAATCACCACCTGGTAGCCAGGATGATAGGGAGGAGCTATCAGACAATAAGCATTTATTAGGCACCCACGATGTGCCAAGGCACCCACTATTATGCTAAGCACTGGGGAAACAAAGGCAAAAACATGGCCCCTGATCTCAAGGTGCTCATGTTCTTAGGGGAAAGACAACATAGAAATAACCAGGCAGATATAAGATATGTGCAAAGCAGTTGGGAGGTAGATGAAGCTGCTCCACATTTAGCCATGTCCTCTGACGACCCAAGTGCTTCATCATTGTGCCATACGGTATGACTTGACAGAGTTTGTGCTTCAGTAGCATGGCCTTCACAGCCCAGGGTCCTCAGTGCACTCACTAGGGTACAGTTTTAGGGGAAGAGAGAAAGATAACTTGGCTGACTCATACATCTGCTCAGTGGTAAAGATGTGTCAGGGGCATCAGTAATCATAGCTTGCTCGATTAAGAGCTAGAAGGGAACATAGAGATTATAATCAACCTTTTTATTGTACAGATGAGGAAACTGAGGCCCTGAGAGACTAACTTGCCCAAGGTCACACATAGAATCATAAATTTAGAGTTGAAAGGGACCTTTGAGGCCATTGAGTTTTAATCATTTTACAGAGAAGGAAGCCTTGACCAAGGTCACGCATAGAATCATGGATTTTAGAGCTGGAGGAAACTTTAGAGGCCAGTTGAGTTGAAGGCCATGCTTGTACAGATGAGGAAACTGAGGTCAAGAGAGATGAAGTGAGTTGCCCTAGGTCACAACGAGTCTCAGGATGTGAACCCCCCATCTCCCTGGCCTCAAGGCCCGTATTTTATCTCCTCTACTTGATCACACTTCCTGTCATGTGATGATAATCTTGCCCAGTGAGTAGATGTTATTTTATCAAAGGAATGATCCTTATTAGACTTGATCTATAATTATATTGGCTGGTGTAAGAATGCAGATTCATATGAAGGGAAAAGAATATAATTGTGCTATCTGTGACTCTGAAGGCTTTAGTGGTTATTGAAATGAATCAAATATGCTCTTTGTAGTCTGGTACTTGGAGAGTTGCTCCCAGAATATCCTTTGTCACAAGCAAAATCAGAGTATGGACTTCTATATGATTAGAACTTGAAAGGAGGAAACTTAGCATTTTCCTGAGAGCATTCCTTTTCCGTTGTGGAAGTCTTCCTCCAATGGTTCCACTCCATGGTATGACAACCCTGACTTCTCTAAGACTGTGCTAGTGGTGTGGAGGCCCTGGCAGGTCCTACCGAGCTGGAAAGGCTTAGAGGACTGGACTGGCGTCAGACTGTCTGTCCGTAGAGGACCAGACCACCTCAGTCTGCCAGGTGATTTCTTTATTTATTTGATTTGCCTTGGCCACTCATTAAACTGTTGACTAAAGACATGGAGGGGGGTTTCTAACTGCAGTTGTGGAGGAGGCAGTGCCTACATGGCTGAAATCGTGACTCCTTGAAATGTTACGGTATGCCCGAAGTCCTAAAATGAAGGTGGTTTTCATTTACGCTTTGTGTGTGCATTGGGGGTAGCAGCTGGAAAAGTGTGATATCCAGTGATGTTATAAATACCCAGGCAGAAGGGAGAGGGGAGGAAATTCCAGCAGCTGTGAGGTTGGAGTCTGGGGGATCCCAGAACATAGAAAAAAAATTGAGTTTGTGCTTGGGGTTTTGTTTGTTTTTGCCTTTCTTTGTATCCCCAGTGCTTAGCATTGTGCCTGGCATTAATATATGCTTGTTGACTGACTTGGGCGGGGGGGGGGCGCAGTGAGAGAGAGGGATACTTGAGATATGGGAAAGTGATTTACCAAGTGGGAACTATAATTCTCAGCTTACCAAAAGTCCAGCCGTCATCTTATCCCCTTTATCACCAAAAGTTGTCAGCTCATTCCATTAGGAATTTTTCCCAAGGGAACAGATCTCCAAGTTTTATAATGGGTGTTATTGAAAAATTAAATTTGTTCTTTTGAATTTCACGTTACAGGCAACTTGGTTGCAATGTATCCATTTGATAGTTATTCCTTTATTCAAAAGTAAACGTTGCAGCAAGCATAGTACGACCTTGACTTTCTAAGCATTACTTTATTACATATTGGTAGGCAGTAAATATGACCTTGATGGGCGTTAAATTTCAATTCACAGATTTGTTATTGACCATTTTAGAATAGTCTCACCCAGAGCTAGCATTAATGAATCATGGAAAATGGTGCTCATTCAAATAGTAAGTCCTTGCCATAGTCCTGATATTTTTCTACTTTCCATTTATATTTCCCCCCCTTGTTCTATACTTATTAATGGACGTACTCTTCTATGGACTGTTTGGCGTTGATAGGTAACTGTAGCTGACTAGGCGGCCATAGCGGTCCTTTCCACCTCTCAAGTTCTGTGATTCTGTCAACGTCCACAGGACTGGCAAGGTTCAATACGGTCGTCTTAGAATTCACAGAAGTGAAGCAACATGTTTCTTATATTTTTATTAGTGTTTTTGTCTGTATTGCAAATAAAACTAAAATAAAATCATGGAGTTTTAGGTTTGGGAAAGAACTAAGAGCCCATCTAATCTAGGGGTTTTTAACTTTTTGTGTGTGTTCTGTGCCCCTCTGGCAGTCTGGGGAGGCCTCTGTTCTCCTTTTCAGAATAACGTTTTTAAATGCATAAAATATATAAGATTACAAAAGAAACTACTTATACTGAAATCCAGTAATCAAAATATTTTTTTAAAAGTATAAGAACCTCTCATCTGAACTAATTAACACACTGCCCTTTTACTGATGGGCAAATTGAAACCCAGAGAAGTGACTTGCTTCCAAGGTTACATATAGACCTAATGGGAGAGAGGGGATTAGAGTCAGTGCCCTATTTCATAAGCCTATGGAGAATAATGCGGTGGATGTTCTCTGTACACAAAGTACAAGTTTTAGGCTGATTGGTTTCAGAAAACCTAATTCATTATAATACTTTTTCCCTCCTGAATTTTTATACCTAAGATTTCAAGTTTCGGACTGCTTTTATTAAAATTTTGCCGTTAACAGTAGCAGTGTTTTTACTATAAAATCTAAGCCTTTTTCCCCCTTGTGTACAAAATTAGAAAACTTTTATCTTTTTGCTGTTTTTATGAAAGCTTATAAAAAGGCACATTTGGTAGTTTGGGCTAAAAGTTTTGAATTCTTTTCTAATAATAAATAAAAAAGATATTAGAATACATTGTACTTTTGTGAAAAATACAGTTGAGATCATCTGTCTTGGAGAAGGTATCCTTTAGCACTTAATGCACACAACAATAGCACATGATTCTTTACTATTGGGTATTGTGTAGTTCATTCTCTAGAGGTGCTTTTCACCCTAGAACTTCAAGCTGGGAGGGAGCTTGGAGACTAATCTAATCCATGTTCGCTCATTTTCCACCCTTTGGTTCTAGCATAGTTCTCCCACTAGCCATGCCTCCATAGATAAGTCACTTTTCCTTTCTGGGCCTCAAAAGGATTTCACTCTGTGTCCTCTCATGTTCCTTCCAGCCCTATCAGTCAGTGATCATCTATTAGTCTTGTTGTCTGACCCTCCCCTTTTTGTGCTATTTAGATGATGGGATCCTGGTAAGGTGGTGAGTGAAGCCTTTATTTTGCAATTGACCCTAGATGGGCTCTGGTTTTGCAATGGGTTTACAGTACTTTTCTTGTTGAATGGAATTATGTGTTCCAGAACTGAACATGTGTTCTCTTAGCTTGCAAATTCTCCAAAAAACTGGATTTTGAAAGCATCATGCTTTCAAAACAAAACAAAAAGCTGATAAGTATGCATATAAGTGCTAATAATTTTCATCCTAAAACCTGAAGGCACCCAATAAAATACCAAGTAGGAGTGATATTTGTCCAGTGGGATCTGCTTTTAACAGGAATGTTAAACCTAGAAGGACTTTTCAAAATATACGATGTGAAATACATACCGTTACTGCGTTTTAGTATAATGCCAAAGGCAGAATTCCCTTCAAATGCCATTATCTTGTTTATGCGTCTCTTTAAAATGAGTTTTTCACCTTTGTGAGTAGTGAACATAGTGAGGTACTATCTTAAAATCTTCCTTCTGTCTCTCTTATATGTGGGCGTATGGGCATAAAGCCATCACTGCTCTGTGTATTATTTTGGAAAGAGAAAAAAATGTCCAATGAAAGAGTCTTGATGTTGAAAACATGTATATTCTCATATTTCCTATATTTGCACCAACCTTCTTGTCTTTATTGCAGATAAAACTCAGAGGGAATTTGCACAGATGCTGCTTTGGACAACTTGACAGCCTGGGTTGCAGAACTGAGCCTTGGTAAACCTGTCTCGATAACAGCATGTTGCCATACACCTAATTAAGTGCATAAGGTCCACAGCCTTCAAGATCCATAGACCTTAACCAAGAATGCTTAGCACGTTTACCATAAGTTAAAATAGATTCTTTATCAATCAGTCCTTTTGTAGCTTTCTAAGTTCTTATTAATGGTTAATATGCAAGGGTTCATTTTTAATATTTTAATTGATTTCTTTAATCAATTTCTGAACTTGTATTTATTAAATACTTAAACTCAGTATTACCTACTCAATGCCTTTTAAAAGTTTTAATGGAGAATAAATTGAGCCTTAAACAAGTGGTTACTTCTGTATATTACCTCGCTCCAGTGCTTCAATCTATTTGCGAAAATATTTGTTTCCTGAAATGGTTGGTCGATATTTTGAGACTTTATGTTTACGTGTGACAGTGTTGTAAGAAACTAAAGATCCTATCTTACCTGTATGGATATAATATCCCTTTTCTCATCTGATGCAGCCCCGTGATCGGGTGCTGTAATTGACACGTTCAGAAGGTGGAAATTGCAATTTGAAATGGACTGTAATATTTAGTTGAAGGGATTTTCATGATTTTTTTTTAATATGATTTGCAACATTGAGTTGCAGCTGAAGCATTTTCGCTTCTGTGAAGTTCTAAATTTAGTTATGACCTACTTTTAACAATGCCTTTGAAAAGGGATAATGTATTCTAGGTAAATTAATTTCGTATACCTGCGCTCAAATATCTCAGCTTTGCCTGGCAGGTTAGTAATTTACATCTAGTCAGTTTCTGCACATGTAAAGTGAATGCAAATAAAATGATTTTACATTTTATAGTTAATATTTGTCTTTCTGAACAATGTTTTAAAGCAATATTTGTTAACATTTTCTTGCACTGTCACAGTTGCTTTTTTTTGGTTGTTATTTCCCAGTAAACAGGTTAGCAACAGAGACAAAAATCAGTGTAAGGTAAGGGGGGAAAGCACCCATTTTTTTCCAGTGCTCTGAATTGCAAATGCACTCTGAACAGCCATTGACTTCCCTGTTGTTTACCTGATCAACACATTTTGTCTGAATACTTGAACATTTTAACAGTAACACAGGTATTAAAACAGAAAAAATATATAAAGAATAAATGATGCTTTTTCTTCCGTTTTAACATGTGTACAAGCGAGCTTTTTCTAGCAGTGGTTTAAAGTTTTGTAAGTTTTCCAATATTTTGCTTTATCTTCAGTTTTAGTTTTGTGTGTGCCTGTGTGTGTGGGCGTGTGCGCGTATGTTTTGCAGAAGTGATGAACTGCAGCTCACCTACTGCACCAAAGTTGTAGATCTTAGCGGCCCAGCTTTAGTCATTTGAACATGCTTCTAATGAAAAAAAAAAAAACCAAAAGGACTCTTTTGACTTGTAATAGCTAAAGACCGTTGGCCAACAAAGCTCTAGTATATGCAGTGATGGTTATGGGAGGTGGGGCAATTGAGCATTTCATTGTGTGCGATATTCAAGTACATCAGCAGGTATCACCAGGGCCTACTACGTTGCCATCAATGGTCTTTGTGACCAATTTTTCTGGAACAAAAATTCTGATTGAACTGTTTGATTCTCCATGATGGCGGACTTTAGGTCCCCATGAAATTCTCTGAAGTTAAACCTCCTAGTCTTAGATATGTAATTTTATGGTGAGAACGGAGGGCTAGGGATGATTGGAATACTTTTCCCTATTTATAAACTGCTTGAAACCTGATCATTTCGGTTTGCACTTTAATACCACACTTAAAACCAAACACTGTATTCAAAGTAGATTAGGTGGTGGTGGTTAATCTTTATTAGCTATACTAAATAATAGGAGACTCAAATAATTCATGAAGATTTTAGTTTTCTGAAAATTGTGGGTTCTTTCCTTTAGGTAGTTTTCTCTCTCTCCCCCCCCCCTCCCTCTCCCCTTCCCGTTCCCTATTTCTCCTTCCTCTGCCTCCTTTCCCCTTCCCCCCCCTCCTTCTTTTGCCTTTCTCTCTCCTTCTCCCTTCCCCTCCCTGTCTTACTCATTCTTTCCTGTCCTTCCATTTCTTCTTTATCCCTCTCTTCCTCCTCCTCCTCTTTCTCAAAAAAAAAACAAAAACAAAAACAACCCAACATTTTATACAGGGGTGTGTGTGTATATGTGTGTGTACACATGCACACACATACATAACATACACAGTATTCATTATTGACCTCAGCAGCAAATTTGACTTGAATTACCTTAGGATGACAGGAATAGGGGAAATAGGAAGTAAAAATGGTTTCTCCAGCACAGTTTTAAAAAATAAAAGGGACCAAAAGTTATTTTAGGCTTCCTCAATAGATTGCATGTAAAGTTGCTTATTAGGTTACGAAACTGCTATTAAATGCAATATAGGTATTGTCTTTGCCAGCTGTTCAGATCACTGCAGGGGGGCTCTGAAACCACCAGAACCTAGCATTGTGTATCTCATGTACTGTAGCTTTATCAGTGAACAGTGAAGTCTGGAATACCAAGTGCAAAATTTGAACAATGACCTATAAAGATTTGTAAAATAAAGTTTTTCCAATAGACTTCATTCTCGTCATTTTGTAAAAAAAACAACCAAAAACCAAAAACAAACAAAAAACAACCTTACAGTCCATCTGTTTGTAACTTTTTTTAATAAAATAGACATCTGTATTACTTAAGGTCGGTTCCTTGTCTTATTTGGGGAATTGTTTGTTGTACTAGATTACTCAAGTCCTATTTGAGTAATCAACCCATTGAAATGTTGCTATCTAATGAACAATCTTTTGTGCCTTTGTTTAACTGGCCTTTGTTATAATCCTCAGTTTTTGACTGTACATGGGCAAGTGTGGAAATGAGAAGATGTGCTAAAACTGGGCCTTGGCATTTCAATTGGATGGCTATACTTAGAAATTATAGACAAATGAAGAATAGTAAGGTCTGTGATATGGCCCATATGTAGCAACTGGCTGATTTACAAATTTGGCAGGTGAGACCTGTGCGTGTTCAGTGGAAAATGGGATTCAAGGCAGTTAATTTTGAGCTGAGGAATAGTGAGTTAAAACAAATTAATAGTCTTGCTTTTTTTGAAGCCAGTAAAAGTTTTTATTCATTTGATCTCTTTGATTCTGGCCTCGGGGAAGAAAATATTTCTCTTTGTAGGTACTGGCCAATTTACAGATGACCTGGTTTTTTTCCCCCCTGTACATGGGCCTTAACATAAGAATGATATTTTTCTTTTGGTTTGAATGTCACCGATTAGCTTTTCATTGCCTAGACAGTCATCCCATATTAAGTAGAGTCCCAAGGGATTGAATTTTTTGTTCTTTTCCACTTTTCAACCTCAGGCTTCGCAGTTTGGGTGCTCCTGGTTGCAAGGTACTCTCTTCTGCTGAAGAAGGTACTCTAGCGGGGAAGGTCATCCTACCCATCATGGAGCAAAGAGAGAAGGGGAGTCCGGCCAGATCAACACTGGTGAAGAATGGAGTGAGAGGTATTGCGGTCCACTCACCCTCACATCCTCTTTCCTGTCTTTTCATTGTTAGTCACCATAGTATCATTGATCTAAAGCCATAAGGCAAGTCAGAGACCCATCTAATCCAACTCTCCTCATTTTACAGATAAGGAAACTGGGGCCCAAAAGATGGGAGGTGACTTGCCCAAGGTCTCTTAGTATCAGAGGGGAGATTTGAACCCAGGTTCTCTTGATTCCGAACCAGTGCTTTTTCCACCGTGCTGTGTTCCCTTCTGTCCTTTTCCTTGGTGACCTAGCATAGTCTTGGGGCCCATACCAAGGACAAGCCTGGGAAACCTGCCCTTTAAGCTTCTTAGGCTCCGAGATGGCCAAAATGTACCCAGGGCATGAGACTTGTTACTCTGGTTCGTTAGGATCTGCTGTGGCTGGCCTTGGGTACTTTTTGGTAGAGTTAGAAGGTCCCATGAGGGTTGCTTTAGGTTTTACTGCTAAGATAATGATACAGTATAAAGAATCCGGCAAAGAACTGTTCCAGAAGGAATAAAAAGCAGTAGTTTTTCTGAAAGTAGCCACATGGAAATCCTGGAAGAAAACAAATAACACTGAAAACAGCAATTGCTTATCAAGACCAGAAACCAAAGCACAGCTCAAGGCCTTCCTTGAAGCCACTCACTGTTATCAAAGTTGATCAGAAACATAATAAGGCAACTTACCCCCAAAAAGTGGAGACTTATATTAAGAATAGCTCTAAGGCCTGGAAGTGGCTAATTGTGCTTTTTCTCTGTTGTAAATGCCAACCCATTCTGATAATGCAGCACAATCCAGAATTGTGATGGTGAAATAAATGACAAAGTTAGCATTTGGCACACTTGCAAAGTTAAAAAACAAAAAACAGATAGAAGACTTCCTATTTGGGAATATTTCCCCCATGGTAATAATGACTTCCATTAAATGATACTTTTCTAGACAGTGTTGTGCATAGGGATAGCTAGGTCCTGACCCCAGGATTAAATCCAGCAAGGCCTCAGTGTGCTAGGAAGGAAGGACCCAGTTAACCAAGAATAGGCCTGAGGTTCCCCCTGATAGACCCTTGAAGCAATGAAGTGAATAATCCACCTAGTTTAATTTATTAATATCCCTCCATTGTTGGTGTGTTATCACCACTGCCATTTGGATGTTTGTCCGTTGTCAAAGAGGCAGGCACCACATTAGGCTCACTAGTTACCTTCTCCTACCTCTCCCCTTCCACCCAAATATAATCAAAGTCCATTTACTCCTTCAAATTTTGAGGTCCTCTTTATAGAGAGTCATTCTGTCTGGGTATGTAGATCTAAAACCGTAGGGTTGCAACTCCATTATTTACTGGCCATGTGACCCCAGGCAAGTCCCTTCACCTCTTGAGTCCTCAGCTTTCCTCATCTAAAAAATAATAGCTGTACTAGAATGGGTAATGGGTAAAGTGCTGATTTGGAGTTAGGAAGTTTGGGATTCAAATCCCCCCTTGAGGGATTTTGGGGATTTGTGGTTACTTAACCTCCCTGCATCTCAGGCAGCTCTTTAAGGACACCAAGTTATAGATGGCTTATGATCTGACAAGTTAGGATCTGCCCGGTGGAGGGAGTTCCCACACCCACGGAAGCACCTTCTGGTGATACCTGTACTCCCTACTTTGCAAGTTAGCTTCCATTATGTGGAGGGCTCTATTATTGTGTCTCAATGTCTGTGCCCATAATTGCATGATGCTGACCCATACTTCCATTTATATGTACAGGATTGACAAATGTTTTCAACTTCGTGCTAATGGTTTTGTGAAGGTTTTATGAACACAGGTGTTTGGTAGTTTGGGCAAAGAAAAATTTCTATTCTGAGGTGCCTTTTGAGGAGGGGGGGTGGGAGGAGTTGTTGGGGAAAAAAATACATGGCAGAGGTGCAAAATGAAGGTGGTAATCATCTACCTTGTTGAGACTCTTCTTTGGCACTTAGCTGTATGGAGCACTTGTAATATATATGATTATCCTCTGTTTTATTGGTATTAGTCTTGTCTCCTCAACTTGATTGTGAACTTGAGGGTAGCGACTGTCTTAGAAGTTCTCATTCTGGGCCAGTGGTAGTGACTGTGGGAAGAGGTGGTAGGGAGACTGAATCAATAGGACTTTGGAACTGCTGAGCTCTGTCCTGTGAGAAGGAAGAGGCTACTCAGAGGTCTATGATTTTGAATGTGGGCAACTGGGTGGTGACACAGATAAAAATGAGAAGAATGAGGCTTGTTCCCTTGTCCCTGGAAGGTAAAACTAGGAGCATTGAGGGGAAGTAAGTGGCAGAGAGGCTGATTTAGGCTTGAGGTCAAGAAGAGCATTCTAACAATAAGAACTGTCACAAAGTGGACCAAAGGGTGGCCGTGGAGCAGAATGGGTAAGGAAGACCTCCCTGAAGGTCTCCAAGGAAAGGCCGCATGGTCCTTTGGTGGATGTGTTGAAGGAGGCATTTGTCTGCAGGTACGATGGGATGAAATGGTCTCAGAGTTCTCTTCTCTGCCCTGACATTCTGTGATTTCTTCTCTTCTGATATGGGTGCTTGGGTGGATTTTTGAGCTCACCCTTCCATCCGTGAAATTGGGATCCATCCATACCTCCCATTCATCCATATATCTAAGGTGTGACCTTTCTCAAGATCTTT